TTCACTAACAATAGCAGTAAGCAATGGGTCTGGGAAAGAAAGGCAGTCGTGTCTGACAAAGGAAGTGATTTAGTTCTGGAGGCAATTCGTAAGCGGCCATTGCAGGGGCAGCAGTAATGTGCCGAGAGAAAGATCATACGGGGTAAGAGGCATAGCCGATACAATAGTGGCACACAAGCAACGCTGTTCCCTCCCATTGCAAAGATTTATCGGAAAAAAGAGGCAGTAAAATGTATATTGCGTGTGTCGTTCAGAGGAGCGAGAGCTTGTGTTATTGAAGTGGACATCATGCTTTCTAGATGATTGATGCTGCAAAGAATTTAAAAGTGAGTTGGACAAAAGCAACTTTGTTGTCTTGATATTAGTCACAAAACAAGCAACACATTTTATTTAAAGAATTGGGCTGTTTGCGTAAGTGATCTTCTTCCGGTTTTGATGGCCCCTCATTATCCCATTTTATGTCAAAACATCATTTGAAGCTCAACATCCAAAAGTCTGCTTTTAGTTCTGTATTTCTCTATTCCACCCAGCCTTCCAAAGAGGCAAAACTGCTGTGAGAAAGAACACATCTATTGATGGGTCACTAGTTTACTGTCAGCATTAGAGACGTAAAAAAAGGAATAGACAAGTGCTGTTACCAAATTAAAGCGTGGTCCCTGGGAACGTTGATGCCCATTAAAATGATAGATTGCATGGTGTATGCAAATGGAGCTTACACCCACAAAACAGTCTAATTGCATTCATTCTTTTAAGAAGTCCACAAATGTTGAATCTAGATTCTCAGGCGTATTGGCAGCAAGCTGCTAGACAGCAGATGACTAGCTTCAAACGAGTAGCGAGGGGGAGGGATGTAAAATCTTGACAAACAGTGAGAGCCAGTGTCCACATCATCTCTCGCCCCTGACAGGCTTCCCCATGCATGAATTCAAAGCTGGTAAAACCATGGCTGGATTCATTTTGATCTGACATTCATCACTGTACTGTGTCCACGATAAGATGTTTGGCAATTGGCCCATGACATCTGTTAGAGCCAGTGAAGAGAAACTGGGACCAAATTGGCCTTTCTGTCACACGTTATTGTTGGCTTTTGGCTTTGAGCACTATTCATTCTTATTAGAAAAGTCATGCTAATCAAAACTTTTCCTGAATGGAATTGAATTGTATGTCTAAATTAAAAAAGTTAATTTAAAAGCATGAATAAGCTACAATATATAAAGCTAATCATATTCATTTAAGATAATTTTTGCGGTTGCAATTTAAGGTGCCATTGCATCAGATTGTGTGATTCTATGCTGTTTCTTTAACCCGCGGAGGTTCTTTTGCAAATTGGAAAATTGAAAGGGACTGCAGATTCTATTCTCCGTTTATTTGTCTGAAGGAACTATAAAATAAACCTTGCAGCCTGTTGCCGGGGGGTAAATTAGTTTTGTGTACTAGTTTAAAACCATTACAGAAAACAGAAAACAACATGGTAATGCAATATTAATGATATATGAGATGCAGGCTAGACGCATGTATTAAGAGTAATGGCCTCTTTGATATTTACCACTGTCACAGAAAAGAAAAACCTCCCTGCTCCTTTGTATTCTCTTAATACTAAGTTATATGCAACCATGCAGTGATTTTGTTAATACCAGTGCCCGAACCTGCTTAGATTTCAAGCCTCACAGCTGAATTATAGAATTACAGATACTGCTTGCAGCATTTCTCAACCATGGTGGCATGTGTGTGGAAGGCGTTAGGCAGATGGGATGTGTCTGATATCTCTCACTCAACATAATGAGACCAGAATGCGCTTCACCAATCTCAGGGCCCGTCTGATGGCAAGAGACACAGTGCCCACTCATACGGGAGGGATCCATCCTCTCTTCAAAGATAATGAGATGACAATGTATTCAACTATCATTAGATAGAGACAGGATTTAGGGGGGAGAAATGGGTGAGAAACATTCTACAGCACTTGTCTGCAGCCTTTGATCAGACGAGAAAAGCAACTGTCATTCTTTGTATTAGTGCTGGACTCAAGAAAGCGCAGCCAACTCACCGCCAGTGTCACTGAAAGGCCATAGTTTGTACTATATTTCCTCAAGCAGGGGATTTCTCAGGCACATCTGGATTATTAACCGAACAGAAACACACATCTCTGGTTACAGTGCTGCCCATGTGATATGTTAAAATATTTGCCTCTTTCTGAATTCATTCGCTTGAAAAAATGTATCACAGTGTAACTTAGATTTGCCGTCACCTGGGAAGAGAAGACACAACATTTTGCCAGACATGGCACTCCAATGCAACATGTCAAAAGTGCCATGTTAACAGGCTTATTTAAGCAGGCTTGACGAGACAATCTTATTCTAAGTTGACAGTTTGTTGTGGCACTTGGATCCATCTTGTCTTTTGTCCCCATGGTGGAGACGATCCCTCGCATGCTGTTTTTTTTATTCTCAGTCTTTCTTAGAACACTGTGTTTTGACAAATAAACCATCCAAATCTTTTTTTGTCAGACATTCTTCAGTGAGCATTAGGCCAACTGATCTGCACTGAAGTTCTGAGACAGTATTTTGACAGCAGACAATTATGCAGCGTTATCATTTATCTGGCAGAAGAAAATGTGTTGGGTGCAATCCAAATATCTGTAACATGTTATCTTTGCAATGCAATGTTTTGTTATTTATAAAAACTTGTTATCTTTATATATATAGGAATATGTATAAGAAGAAAGCAATCTGGTAAACATATGATGTGTCTTCTTGGTACAATGTTTGCTATCCTCACACTCTGCTGTTGCCGCGTTCTCTCATCGCTTTCCATCTCTGTTAACTGTCAGGCACACAAAAGAGAATAAAATACAAGGCAGAGCTGCACTCTTACTCCTGAAATAATATCCCCCTAAAACGGCAAGGAGCTGAGCTTAAAAATAGAACAATCTGTCTACATTTGTCACACAATTATGTGAGATTGATCAAACTTTTGTGATGCCAAAATCCCTTTAAAACCTGACAAATCACCTCTCAAGTCGGGATTCATCTTGCTTGTATAGTCTCCGTGCTTCCCTTAAAACTCAGCATGATGCTCATTTGAAAGTAAGAGGAGACGCCTTAACATCCAATTTCCCAACATTTCATCATCATGTCTAATTATGCAGGGTTATTAGCTCAAGTATTTGTCCTTGGCATTCTTAATGCCGGTTGACATTTATTATGAACAGTGATGGTATTGGAGAGCTTTGATTTGCCGTTTGCGGTGGTAAGTGTGGTTTGGTGTGTTCTGTGCAGTGCAACAGCACCCTCTCTTGATAATGTGTGATATTATTACATCACCATCAAGGAGCATACAGTATGAGTGTGTCTTCAAACTGCTAAAATGAACTAAGCGAAACTGTCCCTTAGATCATCGATCATGGATGGATGCATATATCAATACTTTGTTTGCATTAGTTTTTAGTACCTTAAATAGTAGTTAACAATCTAAACTTGTGCTGGGACCTTCACGCTTAAAAGCTCTCATCTGGTTCCAACTTTCTGTATTATTTTGTTCTAAACTGAATACACAAAACCACATTTCATTTCCAGTTTTTGTCTCCATCTCTTCCTTTGTAATAATATTGAGGGGGCCTTATTTAAGGAAAGTAGTTTATATTCAAGTTCATTCAACATGAAAACATGGAATCATCATAAAATGTGGCCTTGTTACCTGATGTTGTATCTTCACTTATCTTTGGATAATGCCTGCTTTCGGTTGTGAATGTACACTTTGCAGGGAAGGATGAACTAATTGGGCTGTGTTGAGATGGCATACTTGGATAAAAGTGCAGCGATCAAATTGAAGATGACTGAAATGTACAATAAATGGACATACGTATTAATAAGCCTGCATGTTGAATTCTTATGAAGAAATTCAAAGAGAAACTTGGAAACTTTTATAAATCAATATGTTTTATTTAATCATTTGAAATACTAAAGTGTTTAGGTAATAATATGTTAAAGATAGACATGGTTTTGATATCAAACTTCAGCCAGCTCTAGATCAGTACAGCACCACCTTTCTTCTAAATGTAAATAGAAATTCCTGCAAAACATTAAGCAAAAGTCAATCAACGCGAGTCAAAGCAGCAAAAAGCTAATTCTTACTACAGCCCTTATTGCCAGAAACATACTTGAAAAACATGTTGACTTTGGGAGAGTGTCATACTCTCACCACATTTTAAACTGCAGTCGCTAACTATTGGGTAGCAACTTGACCGGAGTCTGCAAAGCAGTTTAGAATAACATATGTAGGATTTAGCAATAGTGAGAGACCTCCCAAGAAAATAATATAAGGTTACAAATGTGAAAAAATGTTATCCATTGCAGGGACAAATTGAATAAAGCTATTTTCATCACTGTTGGCTCGTGTTACTACAGCCATTATATTATGCTGAATTAATTAGACAGAGATATATGGAGATACATATTCTACATGGTAGGGCTTTCGGTTATATTATACCTTCCAGAGGTGAACTAAGGAGAAAGCTATTATCCTTTATTGATCTCCATTACAGGATCTGACAGGAGATGCAGATAAACACAAATAGGAAGTTAGAGGAGATTTATCTTCACATCAAAATAAATAAAAGATAAAGGAGTGTTGTATTTGGTGTATACCGAGAAGAACTGTGGACATATAAGCCCAAATTGTGTCTGCAAAAACAATCTTACCAAACAAGTGAGAGGACGGTGAGGCAGAGTGAACTATTTAGATGGTAAACAATGAAATAAATCAAAGGCAAACAATAGCAGTTGGTCCTCAGTCTGTCGAGAGGCACCTCAAACATGCTTGCATGATTTAAAAAGTGGGTGCTGCAATGAGAAAAACACTGAGGTTAATGCCGACATCAAAGTAGCTTCCAAGTCTGTTTAGTCAAGGAATCGGTTTAGTTTACTTAAAGCAGATCAAGGGACATTTAAATATCCCAGCCTAGGCACCTCATTCAGCTCTACACAAGGATCTGACTTGCAGAGAAGACTGAAGAAAGTTTATTTATAGGTTTGCATGCTGTACAAAATTATGATAAAAACTAACATTCGGCCCCAAACACAGGTACAAAGTGTTCTTATTGTGATAAAGTTATTATTGTTGTTACTTTTATGAATAGAACAATAAACTATGGACCTAAATATGCAAAGACATACAAGTAAAATCTTGTTTCTGAGTAATGCACATAAGACTCAGATAGCTGGTTTAGTTGCAACTGCTGTCACTTAGACAATCTGCTTTTTCTTCTAAATGAATCCAATGGGTATGTTATAAATTATAAGATCATCCACATGACCGCAAAGGCATCATATCCTTAAAAATGCAGAACAGACAAGGATCTTGATATATAATATTGTATAAATCAAGTCAAACATTCGCTCAGCCAGCATGCCCAGAAATAAAAAAGAATAATAACAATAATAATCACATTGGTGGTCAGCAGAGTGGTTTAGGCATGATTCTAACAACACACATGTGGTTTCAGAAAGTTCACAAAAATCTGTACAGCAGTGTGAAATATCAATATGATATATTTTCTGTAATTTACAATTTTGTAAACTTTTCTTTAAAGTGTAACAAGACCTCTAAGACAAGCAAATTACTTTGGTGTTCTGCAGCTACAGTCTCAATAAAAAAGAAAATGTTCAGTTATATATTTTAGCAAAAAGCTTGATTTCATTCCTGTTCTTTAAACCAGTCTGGACAAACTCATCACAGTGGTCTTCTTTGCTAAAGAGTAAGAATCTGTACAGACCACTCACTAAGGAAATACACAGGTGCTTGGTTACATGTATGTATCATGACAACTTTCATTTGAGTGGCCATAAAGTGAAATATAAAGCCCAAAATATATTGTATGTGATGGCACTGATAAGAAAAGTCTCTGTATAGTTGGCTAATTTTCTCAAAATGTCACTTCTAAATTAAATGTAATGAACATACACAGAACATTTCAGAAAACTAACAAAACAGTACAACAAAGGCTTGGCACTTGCTACAGCTTAGCCAAGTCTGAAAATTCTTGATCGGTTGAGAATGTGGAGAATGTGCATTGCATTCCAGTTTCTGAATAAGTCCTCCCCAGTGGGAAGGCATGTCCACTAATGATAGGAACAATGGTTTATGGGCAAGGCTCTGTCTGTGTTTCCCTCTGAAAATGTTGAAAGCCGAGTTAAAAAGAAAAAACCATTACTCTCGAAGGATGTGTCCTTGATCCGCTGTTTTGTTTGTCCACTCTTCTTCGCCACTTTCTCATTTGTTTCCCATGATGTCGTGAGACAAAACGCTCAAGGCAATTTCACCACCACCACGCAGGCGCCTGCCCTGCCAATGTTGAGAGGGACCTCCTACAGGACGACAGAGAGGTTAACATGCAGCCTCCCATCTGAAGCCGTCTTCAAAAAGAATCCCAGATACTTCATGCCGATAAGAGGGTTACAGAGGCAAGAGTGGGAACACAAAGCAAGCTAAGGAATATTGATAGGATTCAACAACTTCATTTATTTTCCCAAAGGCTGTATGCTATATAAATCACATGCATTAGGCCTACTATTATTATTATGTTAGCTGGGACACTGATGTTACAGTATTAGCAACCATTTCTGCCAAAAACAATCGGCAATTCCTTTAAAAAGTTAAACCATTTTAAAAGTTAAAAATCCCCAATTTTTCTATTAAATATGATACAATGTCAATATCATATTTAAACTGTGCTATGTAACAGCATGATGATTTTGGGATTACCTCTGTCCACTCATTGTTCTGTGCATCATAGGACTCGACAGTGTTCAGATATGACTGGCCGTCGTACCCCCCCACAGCATAGAGCCGGTCCCCCAGCAGGCAAACACCCACTGCGTCCCGGGGGACACTGAGGGACGACACAGTGGTCCATGTGTCCGTCTTTGGGTCATACCTGTAATTGCAATATTTTACTTGTTTTTGCATTATGATTGAGATGATGATAAGGATGTTATCTTAACATGTTGCTGTCTCTTTTGTCCTGTGTTTTGACGGTGTCTAAATTATGTTTTATGTTTTCCGTACATCAAAAAGCCCTAAAGGTTATTCAAAGTTTAAATATATGGTCTTAAAGATTCATCGTATCAGCATTAATCTCAAGAGGAACCAATTTAAACATCCTTATATTCCCACTCTTTAATCACAGATGTCTGAATGATCACTGGCGGCAACTCTTTTTTAGCACAAATAGAGAGCCAGATTGCTTACTTAAAAGCAAAAATGGTCTCTTGGACAGATGCTGGTGGCTGCTGGGTCCTCAGAGAGATTCTCTTTACCTTGCTGTTGAGGGAAAGTATGATACTTTATATGATTCCTCTTCAATAACTTGTTGGTAATGAAGTCATTTATAAAACAGTTTTAAGCGAACAAATTCAACTAATGATATGACAGAAGAAATGTATCTGTAATTAGGACATTTTTCAATAGAAACACCAAATGCAACAACAACGCCAAAACACTGTCCGATGTAATAATATGTAACAGCGACTCAAGGCACCATTAAACTAAAAATTATTCAATATTATATATCTCTGATTTGTTTTGCTAACTAAAATATTTGCATTTAAAAGTGAGTGTTAGGGTTAGGGTAAAGTGTTTAACACTGATCTTGGAGACAGTCAGACATTAAAGCTGTAGTGGGGGGACTTTTAGATAAATTAACATTTGTTACAATTAAGACCTTGCTTAACACATTCACACAATGCTTATGCAGCCTGTTGCCGGGAGGGAAAGCTCTCTGTATAATTCGATACAACGAAGGAATTATGGTGTCTGGTGTCTGTGGCGACTTTCCCATGCTGGAGCACAAATGCCTGCAGGTGAGATATCTGCATCTCCTCCAACCCCAGGAGCACTCTCACTAAATCTTACTTTGTATTGTTATTATTTTTATCCTTCCTCTGAACTCAGCTTTTTTCTATCTAGAGATAGCTGCTTCTCTGTTGCTCTGGTCTCTTTTTTGTGGTGATACCTCTCACTGCCAGAGGGCGGTGAAAAAAACGTCCATTGGTCCAGCTTTATCCTAAGGGGCTAATCTAAAAATCTCAAGACAAAATATCCCCAATGCTTCCTGTGAGTAAAATCACTGTTTTAAAGATCAGATAAAAAGACACTGCTGAAGAGATATGTGTATACTTTAACCATGTGTTTTTTAAAGGAGTGAAGTTGAAGTAAATGATTGTATAACAGCATATAGTGCAAAATGAACAATTGTGTATTATCCTACAAAAAGTTTTTAAATGTATGTATATGTAGGGGTTTTCTCGTTTCTCCGCTTAAGACATAATGATGGATTATTTGATGTGAATTAAAAGGTTGCAGAAGCAGCGTATCTTATGCTTTGAATACACACATAATGGTAAGCAGACAAACATGAGGTCTAATAAAAAAAATGTAGTTGGATTCTTATAATTAAATAACGACTGGAGGTGCTCTACAGAGTCACATCCCATTCAGGTTCAGGAGGGTATTATGGCCAACAGATGGTGCCAGATACTATGTTATAAAACAATGTGTGGAAACTATAATCTGTTCAATTGAGTATTGTTGTAGTATAACACAGACGTGTCTTAAAATGCAGGAAAAGGGTGGGGATCAGGAACAGTTTGTCTCCCTTTTGTTCTACAGCCTGGTCCCCACTCCCCACCCATGACTGAATTCAACAGCAATCCAAAACCTGTTACAAAACATTTGTGTGTGTTTTCTCCAGAGAATAAGCATTCAAAGACCTTTCAACACAATCGGAGAGTCTGGAACAGTGGTTAGAAGCGGGGGCGTCGTGTCCGCCTACGGCATACAGGAAGTTGTTGTATGTTGCCACACCCACTCCTCCTCGCCTTTTGGCCATGGGAGCACACATACTCCACTTGTTGGTGTGCGGATCGAAGCACTCCATGGACCTCAGACACGAGCTGCCGTCTCGACCACCTACTGCAAACAATCTGAGCAATATAACAAAATGAGTTAAAAGTCCCTAACATCAGGCATGTACATAAAGTACTGGTCGATCTGACAGGAGTAGATCAGATGTTTTAAAAAGAAAAGCATTACAAAACAATGATAACATGACAGATTTTGTCAGAGGAGTTAGTAGTAAATGCCATTTTTCAAAGGCCCTTTCCTTGAGAGTGTTCTCTCCCAGAGAGATCACATCAATATTTTTAGTGCTTGTAGCTCACAGGCCCAACAGCAAGAAAGTAGAGGCTCGGGAAACAGCTTCCTTTTTGTCTATTTTTGACCTAGTTGCAGAAATAACTCAGCATCGACTTTTACACTGAATACTGGATGTAGCAGAGCAGCAGCCTCTTTTCTCCTTCGGCACAGAAACATATTTAAATTAGTCTGAGAGCCGGTCTTTTCTTTGCTTAATTTACTTTCAAATAATGTTGTCAGGCATTTAGTTCATTCAAATATACAAAGTGTTTTTATAGAGTCTAAATTACACTGTATGAATTACCTCAGAGATCCGAACAGCCCTCGCTGTGTGCTGCTGACTACTGCAGCCACGTTGTAGTTTATCTCACACAGACCACAAGGGTTGATTTTGCATTCAAGACGTGTAATGTTGTCAAACTACAACTGGACTAATGCTGCACAGCTTTTCCTGGACCAGTGCACTATAAGTTACATAACCATGCCTGTGGTTTTTGCATGATTCATTTCAAGTTACGTTTCTGCTGACCATTTCACAAGGCAATTTATTGTTCATGTTTATTTTACATTTCAAACAGTCCGCAAATCAACTTTCAGAATATTTTATTATCATCATAAAGATAATCTCTATTTAGGTTCCTCTCAAATTTACAATATTTGTTTCATGAAGATAACAGATGGCTTATATAAAACCAAATATAATGTTAATATCTACATTCTAACTCTATACACAATTTGCTTTCATATGTTACCATTGTTATGTGGAAGAGCAGAACTCAATGAATATAACCTGATGGAGTGAAGAGGACAGTGTGGGGGAGTCTTTTGTTCTTCAACACTGTAACATTCATCTTTTCTTCATTTAAAAGGAAAACTTTTATTAAAGCAGACCCTGCACCACTTCACTGTTGGTTGTGGCTTTACAGATGCCAGTGACCTCGATCGACCTCAGGATCCAATATATTTCAAAGACACAGAAATACGACAATATACTTATCCTCATAGTGTGAGGTTGCACATTTTAAGCATTACAATGACTGCAGGGCTGTACTTACTTTCCATTGAGTGCTGTGACTCCCATGGTGCTCCGTGGTGTCGACATGCTGGCCACGTAGTTCCACTGTCTGGCCTGCGGGTCCCAGCGCTCCACCGTATTGAGGTAGCTCCAGCCGTCGTGGCCTCCCACAGCATACATGGGGCCCTCTAGCACAGCTATACCTACACAAATAGAAACAAGAGATACAAATGACCAAAATACATTTTGATTTAGTAAAGAAGTAAAACAATCCTCTTGAACACTTATGATATCTATTAATATTGTTATATTTTGTGTATTAATATACTGTATGTATTTGTATAGGATGATCTAAATTAAATGGCATTACCAAACCAAACTCTTGTCTTCTTTCAACAGTTCTTAGAAAGAGCTGCGACAGACATTTCTCATTTTAGATTTGGGCAGAGTGAGTCATGGAGCTGACCGACTGCATTCAGAAAAACAGGAAGACTATAAAACTGCATGGTTCTTTCTCATTCCCAAGTCACAGAGGAAAGCGTTTTCACCCAGCAACATTGCACAGGATGTTTTACACAATGGATTTGTATATTACCACCCTTATTTCCTTTGGTGAGAGTTCAATTATTTTTGAAGGAACATAAGTGCAAGACCGCATTCAAGAAACCTCGAATGTCATAAATACAGTCAGACCAAAGCAATTGTTGTGGTTAAACTCCTTTTTATTGCCGACTAGTGGCTTTGGAATACAAATAAATACTTTTACTTGTCCTTACTGATAATGCATGCAGCATGAAATGGTTGGGCAGAGATGATGGTAGACAGAAAAGCTTAAATGTATTCAGACTGAAAATATGCATGTCATAGGCAAAGCAGCAAGAGACATTTGCTACGGAGAGGATCAAAGACAACAGAGGTAATCTGTACAGTGTGATCTTCTGGGCTGGCTGATACGTCCGACCACAGTGGGTGAGCGGGATGAACTCTTTGACAAGATCTTCCTGTTCTGTTACCAAGACCTGTTTCAACTGTGAATCAAAATGCTTCTGATATGAGATGTATTGGGCAGGAAAGGGTAAAGAGGAGCAGAGCCAGCACAGCATGCCCAGCTTTGATAAGTGAATGTGAAGATATCAAAGGTCTGCGTATCTCAAAAAGAAATGTATGATTATTTTCTACAGCACGCCTGCTGTGACCCTCCTGAGCATGCATCCTGCAGTTGTTGGTTTTTCCTACCACCAGGTTGCCTGACCAAGCTTATACATCATAAAAAAACCTAATAACAAAGTCAAAATACATTCGGCTTGAGTATGACAAAAACGAACACACAATAAATAAATGGAAGTGAGAAAAACATTGAAAAATTGAGGACTTGGAAATCGTTTTCTTAATACCACATGGTGCTATGGTGGAGTTGTTCATCAATACATTTGATTAAAACATTGATATGAGAAGACTAACCAATATTTAGTTGCAGCTCTACTGACATACTGTATTTGCCATTAGAGTGTCCAATTGTTGTTGTACTTTTTAAAATGGTTGATGAGTGTATTTTGGAATGGCAAAGTAATTTTGTTATGTCTTTAATCAATAGATTATGAAAGAATGTGCCCTTTTCTTTTTCAAGATCACCTAATGAGTGGTGCAGTGTTAAGTCCTAAAACCCGGAAGTGAGTTAGCATTCGACCACTACCGGTTCCATCGTCTCAGAGTCAATGGGATTTCTCCATAGGATTTTGGAAAATAGCTGGAAATAAGGTCTGTGGTTGACACAAATTTAAGAGACATTAAATACATCAGCAGTGACCCCACTGGTGATTTTTGAAGAGTTTACGTGTCTGAAAAACGATGGTTGTTAACAAGTGGCTGAATAGGACTACAGAAGTTGTCGAGGACGTTGTACGTCATTACGCCAAACACATAAACACTCCCGCTAAGTTTGTTTGCCCCTCTTCTGCTTGAAAGCAAGTACCTGCGCTCTTGCAAACTGTTAAAACAAACGCTTCAACTTCTACAATTTTGAATCAGTATTTTTAAATATCGATCTTAAGTTGGCGTGACGTTGAAGTCGTGTGACCCTGCTGTAGTTCGTTTATAGCATAACGTTAGCATTTTGCTTCTGGCCATTAGATTTATGATTAGAAAATTATAAAAGTAGGGTAGACATGTGGAGATTATCCGGCTGAACAAAACGTGCATTTATCAAACAGGTTAGTTTCCACAGACCTTATTTCGAGCTATTTTCCAAAATCCTATGGAGAAATCCCATTGCTTTTTTGTCAAGGGAACCCATGCGCAGCTTACTTCTGGGTACATTTTTCATCCCTGCACCACTCTATACTCTATCGATAGTAGAGCATATAATTATCGAGCTATTACGACATATGTCTATTACTGTTAAATGAAGTAATTTGAGCTACATTTATCTCATTGGACACACTTACCAAGTCCATGTCTGTGTGTTGACATCGGTGGCATGGTGGACCACATTTTATTGATAGGATTGTAGCACTCCACCATGTTGGACGTCTTGAGTCCATCCCTCCCTCCGACCACGTACAGCTTGTTGTCTATTACTGCTACACCAAACTGCAGCCGGCGTCCGTTCATTACTCCAACTTGGACCCAAGTGTTAGTCCGCAGGTCATACTTCTCTATGGTGGTGGAGCCTAAAACCACAGCAAGTAATACAATTAAGTCAAATACAATATTGCGTATTGATACCTTGAGCATACGGGCCATGTACCTTTGGTAGAATCCATCCCTCCTACAGCGTAAAGTGCGCCCACAGTGGACTTCCTAGGTTTGGTTCTTGGGCTCTGAAACATCGGACGTCTCTCAGGCAGGAGATGGTACTTCATGGCCTCCATCAGAAGCTTTTGGCATTCCAGATCATCAGAGAACATCTTGTTGTTTTCCAGATCTGCAAGGAGCTACAATTCAAGAAATCACATCAATAGGCTACATTCTCAAAAATGGAAAAAAGGAATAAAGTACTTTTTGAACAATAAAGCATGAAAACATGTCACAGTAGATTCACAATAAACAATTATGAAACCTGAAAATGTGTATAATAGGGTTTCTTTAAACATCTAACCTCTATTTACTATTGAACCCACACAGTAGATTGTAGCTTTTGCTTTGACAAGAGAACACTTTTTTATTTGGTTTTATTTAATGTTTCAACCCTCATATCATGTTTTTTATAAAACTATGGATCTTGATATGCCTGCAAGTTATGTGGAACTACGCGGCTCATCTTTTCAGTTTCTACAGTAACGGTTATGAAAATCACATTGATTATTTCTGATGTTTATTTGCCTCACAACCGACAAAATCTCCCAAGACAATTTATGAGATAACTTCTGTGCTGGATAATATTTACCACTTATTTGTGTTATTCATAAAAATAATTCACTTTATAGTTGTGTTGAGAATAATGTTGAGGGTTATGTTTTTATTTCACCAATATAAAGTGAGAGTGAAAAACATGTGCATAATTAGTCTTGGAAGTCTGTCAGTGAAAATAAAGCAGCAATAATTTAAAAAAGGAGATGTTTTCATATTTCAGATCTGGAAAATATTGCTTATCTGGGTTGGATGGTATGTAAATTGGTCAGACATGACACAGTTGTAAATGCTTCTTATCTGAAATACAGCTGTCATAAAACTTGAGTTGCTGTGCTTGAAACCATAATCAATCAAACATAAGCAAGCAATTTAAAGTCTGGTAATGGATATCAAAAATTATGTTTCGCTGTCATACTGTCAGTTTGATTTATCATTGAGAGTAGAATTGTTTTTGTATAGCCACTAAACAAAATGATTATTGACAATACGGTAGTTCACGGCCTTACAGTGGTCAATTGGATGTGAACTGGGTGGTTATCTTTCAGTTAATGTATGTGACTTATAGCTGAAACAAGTAGTCAATTCATCATTTAGTAGATTGACTTTCAAACTAAAATGCAATTTTGTATTGCCTGGTTCCAACATTATAAATGTGCAATGATAGTAAACTGAATATCTTTGGATTTTGAACATTTGAATATGTCATGCTTTATTTAACATTGGTAGGGGCCTTTTTTCCTATAGACAAATCATACATTTTCCTAGACACCACCTCTATCCCTTTCCATGTTATCTCACCTGTGGAGGAAGAAGAGGCAGACGGATGAAGGCGAGCAGCATACCGAGGTCTTTTTGTCGCTGCTGGACGTCATACCGCACCCACATCATCAAAGCCTGAAAGATGGTCTCCTCATCGGGGACGTTGATGTCATCGCTGGAAAGCAGCTTAACAATCTCAGCCGTGGGGAGCAGCAGAAACTCCTGGTTCTGAATGACCTCCAGGAAGTGTTCCTGGTACACAGAGGAGACGTGTAGGAGGCAGATAATAATCAGTCATTAGCCAGGGAGTATGCTCGGTGCAGTGTATGCGTGTGTGTGTGTGTGTGTGTGTGTGTGTGTGTGTGTGTGTGTGTGTGTGTGTGTGTGTGTGTGTGTGTGTGTGTGTGTGTGTGTGTGTGTGTGTGTGTGTGTGTGTGTGTGTGTGTGTGTGTGTGTGTGTGTGTGTGTGTGTGTGTGTGTGTGTGTGTGTGCGTGTGTGCGTGCGTGCGGGTGTGAGGACCAAATGGAACAAGAACAGAGACAATAAGTAAAAATAATGCAAATAGATTGAGAGAGCTTATTTAGCTGTAAAGATAAATAGATTAATTGTCAACCATTAAATGAATGGCAAAATATTCTAATATTTGATTCCTCAGTTTGAATATTTTTTTACAGATAAAAAAGCTATTATTTTCTAGTTTTGTTATTACTTAACGACAGTAAGATATCTAAATTACACAAGTAATTTAAGGACCCTATCTTCGTGCTTAGCAAACACTGAATAACACTGACCAAATCATTAATCTCTTAATGGAGAAAATGATTGTCAGATGAATTGACAAAGATAATAATCGTTGGTTGCAGCCCCACAGATTACATTGATGAAATACACTCTTACACATTTTTACACTCAGCTGGCTCACTATATAAAAGAATCAACATAGCAGCGGGCTTCAAATCAATCTGGCATAAAACACCTCCAGAAAAAGCCTCTTTATAAGCTAACACAACATTTGTGCTGCTTATTGTAGATGAAACCATTAAGCCTTTTGATGAGAAACAAAAAGGCACACAGACAGTGTCCAGATTTAAGTTTTGTAGAAGCTGCACGGTTTCTATTGTCTGCCTTAAGATTGATCTTCCATTTACTGGCCAATAGCCCAGGCGACATTACAACACTGCATGGCTACCTCTTCAAGGACATTGTCTCACAGCAGCTCCATTAAAATGATGCTATATAAAACACCCTCCTGCTTCTGCTGCATATGTTATATCCCACATTAAAACAGATGAAAGACATACAGAGCAATCCGTGCCATAATCACGCAGTGATTTCCCTCTTTTAACGAGGCAGCTAAGCATTAAATATTAAGCCGCCTGAATAACTTAGACTGGATGCTCAACAATTACGAAAAAACATGGACGCTATTGATCATCAACTTGCAACAAATTACAGCAATCTATTATGAGAGTAGGTTTTAAGAGCTTAACAGAAACAGCCCTAATGAAATGAGGGACATCTATTGATCTGTTGTGGCAAGAAGGACGGAGAAATGCCATCCAACTCTTTGACGTTACTTCAGGCCAATTATTTGTGATTACCACTGAACAGCTGACAACCAAATTGAAAGCTCAACAGAGTGTTTCATAAACATTTAAAAGCATGTGTTTTCAGATGCTGGCAAACTCATTGGTGGTAAACTGCTTGGAAAACAAGATCAGCGGGATAGGAAACTAATTGATTTAACGACTGCAAATGAGTAATTCTGTAATAACAGTGTTTTCTGAGGAGGAACGCTGATGTTAAGGGGAGTGAGGCAGCATAATTACTTCTCAAGAACATTTTGATTACCAGACAATTTGCAAGGCCTGGCAGAGTCAGACTGCTATATTCTAATATTTGTCTTAATTGAGATTCATTTTATAACATCCGATTTCTGTGGTATTTATTGTGACATGTAACATAAACATGCTTTATTGCTAAAAGAAAATACTTTCATCCCAAAAATAAAACAATACAGTCTTATCTACTGCAATATAAAAATGGCCACTATTTCATAAAGGAAAGGATGTCTGAGGCGGATCTCAACTGTGTCTAACCGTGAAAAACAAGCTTATCCAAACAAAACTTGCTCTACTCACAACCCGGAGAACGGACTTCCAGGAAGCCCACAGCTCTCGCTGCTCATTACACAAGTGATTGAACAGGAAGTTGGCCCTCTTGTGCAGTTTGATGATTAGATTAACCTCCTGGTCCTGGATGGGGGCTATGTAAACAGACTGAGCAGATGTCCTCTAGGAGATAACGCCTGCCTCATGCTGTCACTTCTGCATGGCCAGCAAGACGTTATCTGACAAATGTGTGCATGAATCTTAATCCAATGCAAATACTCTTTGCAGGCATATATATCAAAATTGCAATTTCTTAGGTCTGGCAGTGCACTAATCAATGTGAAGCGTAGTGGTATCTGGTACTGACAGCCATGCTGCTTCCCTGATGGCTTCCTCAGGATTGTAGCTGACATCCTCGTGGATTCATCTTCTTATTACAGACACATGCATTTCCTAACATTCGGTCTATATGCTGTAAAATGTATTATCTCTTCGATTTACACACGGCATCTATAGCATGTCTGTCCGTCCTGGGAGAGGGATCCCTCCTCTGTTGCTCTCCCTGAGGTTTCTCCCATTTTTTCCCCTCAAACTGTGGTTTTTCTCTGGAAGTTTTTCCTTGTACGATGTGAGGGTCTAAGGAGAGGGTGTCGTTTTTCTCATACTGATATTCTGAACAATCTGTGTTGTTGTATTTGCTGTAAAGTGTCTCTACTGTAGGCTAATTTGATTATATGTACAGCACTTTGGCTCGACCAAAAATCGTTTATAAATGTGCTATATAAATAAAACTTGATTTGATTTAATTGATTTGATAACCAAATTAGATAAAGTGAAAGCATGAACATTTTCAATTTCTATTCAAATGTGGACGTCCTCCGTTTCTCTACTCAAATTATAATAAATAAATCACCCAGAAACAAATATGTCATTATTTTACAGGTTGACATGTTTTAAATAACATTAAATAACATGACATGTTATTTGACTTAGCTAGCCTAGCTATGGTCACAATAATTCACTGTGTTATGTACATTATACCAAAACCTGACGTCATTGACAAAATAATGCTTATCACACAGGCTACTATACATTTAAATTAGAAACAAATATGAAATTGAATCCTCAGCTTCTTACATTATTTTAATAAGAGTTCATTTTGATTCACACAATGGTGATTGTCTGTCCTGTGAAAGTGGATATACCGTTGATTAAACTACATGTTTAGATAATCTTTTTAATGTTAAAGCTTCCATTGCCGCAGCTATTGTGTAGTAATGCAAAACATAACCACTTTCAGGGTGCAAACTGTAGTTACAAAATAAATAATTCAGCCCACCCAGCCATATACTGTAAATATGTTCTAGTTATACTCGCTCTTTTACCGTGGTGTAGTTGTGAGCCACATTGAGCAGGTCCACGCAGCCCTGGGCGTCTGCAAAGGAGCGTATTCCCAGGCAATTGGAGGGATGAAGCTGTTTCATCAGGAAGTTACAGCAAACCTGGATGACTTGTGAAAGCTGGAGGAGGCAAGCTGCCGCCAATAAACTCTCAATGGTCTCCTCTTTCAGCTCAAGGACACCTGCAATGTCAGGTCACAAAGAATGTATTTTTATGTCATGACGGGTGGTAGCCGTAAGGACAAACACATTGTGGAGATAATTATTAACATCTCATACTGGATCAACAACATTGGGTTATTTTACTCTATTATAGAATAAAGAAAATGGGGGTTTGGATATTCCCAACAACAGACTTATCAAAGGGGATTTGTCTAGTAAACAAAACAACACTGTTGGATTGCTGCAGTCAATAAGCCCAGTGGTGAATTACCTTATTGATCCATTGTAATCATGCTGGATTTCAGAAGTCTCATAACTACTTACAAGAGCTAGTGAACGTCTTTACGAGCACTCACCGGTATAGGCGAAATGAACCAGGGACCTGAGGGCTTCTGGATCGACTCCCTCCATCTTGATCTCCTCCTGCTTTGCCTCTCTCACGTCGCTGGTGAACATAGCAGCAAAGTAGTCCGACACAGCACTCAGCACCAGTCTGCCATAAATGAAACTCAGTGAATTATTGCTCTTGTGTACTGTACATTAGTTGGCCTGACTATATACCGTAAGTGAGATCTGAATACAGAATTGTTTAAAGGGTAAGTGAATCAATCATTGTGTTTCCTCAAAAAAGGGCATATCTTTCCAGTATATTCGGCTACAATGTTCTGTTTATTTTCATGTATAACTGTTTCTTAACTTGATTTATTCTGCTTCTGTGCTTGCAGCATTTTTGGTATTGTCCCCCCCCCCACATTCAACTTGTTCAGTGTATAATGAATTAAGTTATCTCATTGACTTAATGTTGCTAATAGTTACTCTGCTCCAACTCCTAATTATGTTTTCTCATTTGCCTAGCTCATACAACACAATGGTTGATCATGAAGAGAAGGAGAGATCACACTGCGATAAGCGGAAAGGGCAGTCCAGCAATCGACATCTACATTTCAATATTTGTGGTTCATCCTGTATTATTTTTTCAACGAGGTCAGTCACTTATAATTCCTCTCTGTGGAGTATTCTGGTTTCTGTTTTATAAATCTGTCTTGATGAACTAACAAAATGTGCCGGTAGAAAGACGTACACAAAAAGATGCACTCAGTGAACGTGATGCCTCTCTGCATTCGGGGGATGTCATGCGATATGTTCAATTCTGCCAGCCGAGGGCTTGATGCATCAATATTGACATACTCATGTATTGAATCACACTGCTCCTCCACTGCACAATTGTAACGTGGAAATGAGGAAGTGCAGTGGTGTAATTAGATTAAAGCAGTGTGCATGATTTAGATGCCAACCAGTGAGCATAGAGTATGCATATCTTTCCTGTCACTTAAACATCTGAAGAATCTTGCTCTTGCATTTGAAAGATTATTCGATTATTCCTGAGATGAATCGGGACTGACATAATATATTTTAACATACGAAATGTGGTCCAGACCAAATCCTGGGCGTTCGCATCTGTAACCTAATGAAGTGAATTCAGATGAGCTTCTGTATCTCTTAACTAAACCGATGCAGTGTAATTAATGAAATCAAAGAGGACTGAAGCGCAAACACCAACCTGTGAGCGGGTATCTTATGATCCCCCGCTATCAAGAGAACATCACACAGCTGCTTGTGCTGGAGGTAGGTTTCCATCTTACGGAAAGTCTGTTCTGCATGATTTGTGGCCTGGAAAAACTCATCCGAGGAGTTGGTGTTCATTTTGGAGAAGGTGCTCAGGGCCAACCTGTGGAAGAGAAGAGAGATGGTTTAAGGCTAAAACAATGCACCTAAAGCATGAATATTTACTTAAATTGCTTAAAAGGTTTTGTTGCAATGAGCTTTCCTCTTATTTTTTATTTTGGAAATAGACATATGTAAGAATTAGTCGTCAGCATGACTTCATGCGGACAAAAACAAAGAGAAAAGATCGGACACTTTAGGTGAAATAACAAAGACATTTAATTTAGGAGGACTAATTCATTGAACCAACTTTTGTTTCCTCTCCCAGTCCCCTATCATAAATATAACATTAATTACAAAAATTAAATAAAAAATCTGTACGAAGCAAGATAAGCAACATATTATTGAGGACACAAAAAGGCCTAGTCAAACACATCACACTCTACTCCCTGAGGTGTATCTGCAGCTTTCTTTAAGCTGAAATTAAAACTGTTATGGACACAACTCCACACATAAGTCGATAACTGAGCACTGCAGTCCAATGGGACAAGCGAGCTTCCCAATCTATGCAACAGCTTTCCAGACAGAAAGTCACTGTGTCTGTAATGTGTGTATGCCTTTGTGTCTGTTCCTGTGTGCATCTATATATCTGTGTGTGTACGTCGGTTTTCCAAAGACAGGGACTTAACAAGTGAACAAGCCTGTTTCTTACAGCATTTCATTGAGGCTGAGTCCCTGTCCCTACAGGCTGCTAGATTACATGTGGCTCTACAGGCACCCAAGTAATCCCTCAGACACGTGGCAAATAATGCAGCCCAGACACTTTGGTGTCCTTCACAGAGCAAGTCCACTCATTGACATTTAGGGTTGTTTGTTACGCTACATAAGCAGACCCAAGCTGCCTCTCCCGGGGGAATTTACTGTCATCTCACAGTCCTGCGGCTATTTAAAGACTGATTTTGCTCAAGGAAAAAAAAACTCACTGCTATTTAAGTCAACACTTAATATCCCCGCCCATTACCACTTATGCACCAACATGAGAGCTGCATAAACTAGCAAAGTTACAGATTTGTCAATAGAATGAGCGATAGAATTACTAACAAAGAACTGCTAACAGAGCACTTATATACTAATAAAGGACTGGCTTATCTATAGCCAGTTGAGTAGCACTTGAAAAGTTTGGCTCTATGAAACCTGATGTACTTATATGATTCTGTTTTCTTCAAGGTTGTGTCTTCCTGGTCAAATGCACTTATTGTAAGTCGCTTTGGATAAAAGCGTCAGCTAAATGCAATGTAATGTAATGTAATGTAAAATGAAATGAAAACCCTGTCATGCTTGGCTGCACAATATATTGGCACATACAAAGACTGATAACACAGGAGGGGTTTAAGGGAGTGATGGCCCTTATAGATATCCTGATTAAGACACTATTATAAAGTTTTTAGCCTGGTGTGCGATTTCTCCTCTTTGATTACCAAAAGCAACATTTTCCCTTGGGGATTTGTTTATACTGCCCCCCGGTCACTAAAGAATCCTATAGTCTAACCTTTATTGGGAGACTTTATGCTAAATGCAAGAGTAATTTATTGTTCTGTCACGATAATTCCCCACTGACTCTGGAGTCTTGGAGAGGAACACCAAACAAGACTGAATAAGCAATGGGGCCGTAAAACTGAGATGCATTGCCTTTGTATTGGCTCCAAGGCATGAGGTAAGGATTTTTCATGCCTACCAATCTCTCCGACACTAATTGCTTTGGTATCACATTCTAGGGAGCAGTACATTTCTCTGAGGGATATATTTCACTTTCAGTAGAGGGTTGGATCATCAGAGGTATAGCCCAATTTTATTAAGGCACTAAAGCCACAGAACACCTTACTCCAGAGAAACTGCTGTAGGTACATTGCTGTACATCACATAATACTGAGCAATTCACAGAGTCACACACCCTAACAGGGCCTGTAGATTTATGTTGTTATCTACAAACGTTCAATGTGCAAACTTGCATTTGTAGAACAGTATAGAACAATAGTCAAATTGCCTATATGTATATAGAGGGCTTCATCCCTCCTCACCCTACAGTACATGTGACGTTTTCTTCCTTGACTGAACACATATCACCTGAAGTCTTGTCATTATCTCCTCACACCTTCCTGAAGTTATCACACCACAATGTGTCTAATTGGATCTGAGAAAAACATATTCATTTAAAAAACCTGAAAAGCTTTTCAGGTGAAGATACAACACTCATTACAAATAATATATGAGTTATACAGCATATTAAATATCATGTTTGTGTTCCTATAATCATTCTGAATTCTCGATGGGTCGAAACGGTCATCCTAGTTGAAAAGTCGGACAATTCCTGATGCGCTTTGGTTAGCGAGGATTAGCCTGTACCTGTAGCTGTAAAGGTTATGAGTTAGACATGTTGCTGAAAATCTTAGTCTTATTCCAACTAATGTCAATTCCATCCCTTTACAAGAGGGAAAGTCGTGCCTGCCTGGGCCAAATGGGAAATGTCTCTTTCAAAATGGATTATAACAGCCATTTGCCCCTAAAGGCTGCTGAGTAGCTTGGGTTCGGTTGAGAATCTAACAACTCCAACAAAGCCTCATGCAGCATGTGCCAAGTCTATATATTCCATGAGATCTCTATATGCCTGAAAGTCTGTATTACTGTCATTCGGCTTTGTGTAGAGAGAAATATATACACTGACTGTAATAGCTTGATCCCGGCAGTAAGGCTGAGATGATAACTCTGTACAGGAATAGATTTTTCTCTCTGCACTTTACTATCTCACTGAGGCTTCGCAACAGACTTCCTTCTTCTCATTCTATTGTAATACCGGACATGCTTAATATTGATAATGATGGAGGAAATGAAGCAGCATATGGGATCCACGTCTTTTGAAATCTGCTCTGAATGTGGCCTCTGGGCTCTTTATGTGAGAGACTACAGTGGAAAATTGACACTGCTATTAACAGAAATTACATATTGCCTTCTTACAGCTTTTACAAAAACCGCACACGTTGTAAAGAAAAAAGTGATGGTGGAGAAGTCATGTCAGCAGAATTTCTGCAAAAAGCTAATGAACATCTCAGGTGGCATACTAATTGATGTTTTGAATATTAAGAAACTGCAAGAGGAGTTACATCTTACACATTAAAAATGAAAATCATCTGTCAAACTATGTCCGTTTAATAATGAAAATCTACATAATTGACTTGAAAACTTAAGGGAAATATCTGCTTGAAGCCACTGAAGAATAATGTGCCAGTAGATGAACATATTTCAAAATAGAGATTATAATTGAGTGTTGCTAAACACAGAATATTAACACTGGGATTGGAATGGTACATTTTAATGAGTTGGTAAATCTTATTTCAATAATGGCATTGTTTAAGCCCCTGTCACACTGTCCCGAAATTGAGACCAGATGGAAACACGATAAAGGAAATATCGTGTGTGTGAACTCATTCGTGAGGGCATCTTAAGCCATCGTTTCTCAGGCTCTGGCAGCAACTTTGTGAGCGGTGGCAAAATCTTTGGCATGCCAAACAATTGCCGAAGGACCTTGCGAAGGTTAATTTTCGTGTTGAATTTGTGTGTCCGTTTTGCCCTTCGTAAGGCACTCGTGAGGGCATCTTGTCAAATCGTGTCATCTTCGTCTGATCATCGGTGCCATCGGGCATTTTTCGCCCCGGCAAAATGGACACACAAATTCAACGCGAAAATTAACCTTCGCAAGGTCCATCGGCAATTTTTTGGCATGCCAAAGATTTTGCCACCGCTCACGAAGTTGCTGCCGGAGCCTGAGAAACTCCACCGGCGGTCATACGATGGCTTAAGATGCCCTCACGAATGGCCCGATGTTGTTACGATCAGAGCCGAATTTGAACATTTCCTTTATCGTGTGTCCATCTGGTTGTTTTATCGCACAACAAAATCATGTAAACATATTATGTAAATAACCCAATTTGTGTTCTGTGAAAATGAAAAGGATATGACATTGTTTTTGTTACTTTCGTTGCAGTTGTATGTCTTAAATGTAATTTAGGTTAACTTCCTGTTTTATTTAGATGCTTTTATTTTGAAGGTGAGTTGACAGGAAGTTGTTGTTGCTATGGAAACAACATGATGGAGAAAACTTAATATCTTCTACATATAAAGACGGAGAAAGTAAAGAAGAAAGTCTGAACATATCAGTACAGTATCATAGTACTTTAACATAATTGTTTTTGTTACTTTCGATGCAGTTGTATATCTTAAATGTAATGTAAATGTTGCCTTTGTGTGTGGTTCGGGCCATCTTCGTGCGAATTCCTTATTCGTGTGTCCATGTGGTGTCAATGTTGGGACAGTGTGACAGGGGCTTTACAGATTAACTTTGAATACAATGCTGAGCTCTGCATTATAATGCTTGAATATGTGATTTTGTGTGTGTGTGTGTGTGTGTGTGTGTGTGTGTGTGTGTGTGTGTGTGTGTGTGCGTGCGTGCGTGCGTGCGTGCGTGCGTGCGTGTGTGTGCGTGTGTGTGTGTGTGTGTGTGTGTGTGTGTGTGTGTGTGTGTGTGTGTGTGTGTGTGTGCGTGCGTGCGTGCGTGTGTGTGTGTGTGCGTGTGTGTGTGTGTGTGTGTGTTGTGGGCGTATTCTAAGTGAAAAATGTGCAGATCTTAGCAGAAAGCTTCTACCTGCTTTGCTGATGGCAGTTTACTCATATAGTCTGTCATCATTGTTAGATCTGTAATTTATTTACATTTGATGTTAGTGGTTAAACAACTTAATCCATAATTAAAGCCGTGGAGCCTGGGTTGCATGCATTTGGTTTATACTGTGTATTAGATAGATTTAGATCTCCAGATACAATATGGATTTCCAACCTTTCTAGCTTAGAGGGTTAAAAACTCAGATTTAAAAATGTCTTAAGTGCCATTTTTATTTGGTGACTAAAACCACATATTTTTAATTAATTTTCCTGAAATCCTCCAACAGATCTAAATGTTATTGAATATGCAAACCATGCATTTTACAGAAAAAATACTGAACACTTTTCTGCGGTCGGATATGATTAACTATGACATTTTTAGCTTGATCACAGTTGTCTGCGCCTCAAAGAAACGTCTTCAATGCAAATAAGTTAACGTGAGTGCCTCAGAAGTCATAGCCCCTAGTCATAGTGCCGGTGTAACATTCATAGAAAGCTGTGTGAGGGATATTTTTGCTTTGAACTGGGTCCATTCGGGTGGAAAAGATGACTGATCTGCATTTGAAAAGAAATTAGTAATGTGTCCAGCATAAAATAAAACCGTACCTCTGTCCACAGCCTTCTGCAAAAGCATAAGGAGGGGTTGCTAAAACCTCTGGTTTGATCTTTATCTTCCATCTGCAATGGCCTTGTTGCACACAGAATGCTGATTTGGCAAAGTTGAAGCATGCTCAGAATCAATTATATGCGATCGCAATATCTCCTACATCCCTGAAGATGTCATTTTGATATTATAACAGATATACTGTATTTTGCCATTTACAGCCTCTTAAGGCATCCTCTGGATGTGTCACAAGGAGACCGAGACCCTGTAAGCAATGTGGTGTTATGAGACATCTAACAAATATCTGAATTACTGCTGTTGACAGGGGGTGAGGTGGTGGTATTTCTTTTCCAAGGCGGTGGAGAGAGAATTGAGATATCATTCAAACTAACAGTCCGCTGACTCAATCCTCTGTTAGTGTTTATGTGGAAGAGGTCAGGGTTTCTATTCCATTCAGGTTAACTTCTGTCATATATTCTCTGTCAATGATGGGGAGAGGTTATTTGGATGAGTCATGAGGACACAACAAATATACAGTATATATTTGAATATAGAGCATTAGGAGCAAGGGTGGAAAACAACGTGGTATTATCTGCTGCTTACTAAACTACATTTGATTGAACAACTCTGTGGATAACTACCAGTTAGTCAGATGTAAAAGGTTGGATAGGCTAAATAATATATTCAGAGTATATCTATGATGGGACTCACATGCACTAACATGCATGCACTGCCAACCCGGTTACATAAAGAAAGAACAGAAACACTTGTATTACAACAATAACAGGGGAAGTGTGCCTTCATTCTGTGCTAACCATGCCGATATTCCACTATATCTTTACAAAGCAAATAGTTGTTTATTGCTTCTTTAATGTTCTGAATTTTATTTATACAACCTTTAAATACATTCAAGAGAAAGCTAACAGAGCAACAATAAGTAGATCAGCATAGACCACAACATCAATGTACCTTTTGAAATTCCTTCAATACTCATCAAGGCAGGTTTTTAGAATGTGTGACAAAACTTAAATAACTACAACAAAAATAATAACAAAAAAGACACAAGCTCAATGGTAATGTTGCCAATACCCTTCCTGCTGCTGAATAATCTCTCAACTGATATACATTTTCTTATACATTTATGATTAATAAGCCGACTAATACTAAGAATACTTTCTTAAATTCAGGCACAATGATAAATGTATAGCCACTGTGACCACAGTATTTTGTCCAATAGTACAACCACCCAATTAGGATGAAATATTTTGGTTGAATGTGTCAGTTAGTTCGGTTTGACAGCAATCTGGAATATGAATAACAAAAGTGAGAAACACATCTATAGAAGAAAGGAATAAAGTGGAGGGACAGATTTTTCGGTAGACATTGAATGATACTAATCACTGAGGGGCACGTCACACAAAATGACTGGCACATATTTTCCAACTACAAAGGAACGGTTACAACTTTTGTATAACTCGCAGCCAGCAGAACTAATTTTTTCATTCTGCCTGAGGGATTGTGACAAATTATATGTCAAGGATTTATGATGTGAGACGTAATAGGGCCACCCAGCTGGTGGAGTAAATGAATGTGCATATCTCAGTGACATCTACTTAGCCATGGAAGAACATACAAGCCATGATGTATCACACAGTCACTAGCTCAATCTTTTACATCTAAATGCAGTGCTTGTCCAAACCTCTCAGAAACTAGTGCTTCACAGATATGAAATGACTGCATTAACATTATACACTTAATTGAACACCCGTATCATCTCACCACATTAAATGATGTGCTTCCCTGATAGCCCTGGTCAAACTCATTTGGCAGCCTGCTATTGCATGAACAGAAAAATGCACATTTCTTGATTTAATAATTATGTAAAATAGGCACAGAGGACGATGTATTTATTTAAATGAAGGGATAAATTGATGGAACTGTCTGTCAATATTCTATACAGTGTTATTTAGAATAACAGAGGATTTGTTTCTCTGACATTGTTGATAATTCGGGTGGGAAAAATCCTCAAATAATTCAAAACACTTTTTGTTTGTTATATTACATTGCTGATTATCATATTCATGAATGGATATCAATACAAGTCTACCCGAGATATATTTATGATCCGCCAGAGAAGAACCATTTTAATATTTCAGTTTTATTGTCAAAATATAATGGCTGTGCTATATTTTACATGGCCATCTTGAACTCAAGGACTGCATTGAGAGCTGTCGAGTTACACATTTTTACCTTGAGGCACATATTGTATGCATGCATTCTTCACATACAGGGACCCACAAACATGAACATCTGCCAATTATACCAACACTGAGAGCCGAATGTCAGGCTGATTCCAAAACTGTATCTTAACTCAGAATAAATCATGCTCTGTTCAGGGAACTCAACCGTCCACTGCTCGTGGCATTGACTTAATCCACATTGACATATTTCTGGCTGTAGACAGAGAGTCTGTATTCATTATTACCTGTTTAATCACGGTGAGCTCTTTGTAAAACAAAGGGATAGGTACACTATCATTGTCCCCAGGTGCATGAAAACAAAGGCACACAGGGAAGCCTAAGGACCAATCATCTTAGAATGTCACAGACCAGATAAAAGGGAGACTTGGGCTTTTCATCCTTGATGTGGGGTGCTTTTAGTTTACTGACACACACACACACACACACACACACACACACACACACACACACACACACACACACACACACACACACACACACCTCTAACCTGTTTACTTCCTGGAGGAAGATGTAGCATCACAGAAGAGACAGGGGGAAAATAACACTACCTGGAAAAGCAGGGGGTGGGATTTATTACTGGAAAAGAAACATGGATGACCCTAAACATTTGGTATCAGGATTTGTGAAACGATGTTATTAGGAAATTAATTAAATAATACCCGTGATAGCCTCTAGCTATGAGAGCTTTTGGCTTATAAAGTGGTTGTAGAAGCAATCTGGAACTGGAAGGTCACCAGTTCAAGTCCCGGCAAGACCAAGTGCTACCGAGGTGTCCCTGAGCAAGGCACCGCTCCCTACACTGCTCCCCGGGCGCCGTTCAAAATGGCAGCACACTGCTCCTAACACTAGGATGGGTCAAATGCAGAGAAACAATTTCCCCACGGGGATTAATAAAGTATATCAAAATTAAAAATTAAAAAATTAATTCAAGTCACTGCAATGTTTCCTCTTTTTAGTTCCTGCACATGGTTATGTGATTCAATAGCTATTTATCGCTTTTAACTCCATGGAAGAATGAATTATTGTAATGTGTACAAACTTAAGAATCTGGAGGAATCAAGTAAAGTCATAGAGTGCATGGCATCTGGACCACAACACAGACAATGGAACAGATAAAGCCTTGGCTTTTGGTCCGATTAATAATTAAAATGGTGCTATATTGGTTTACCTTGCCTAACATGCTGTGGATAAGATAAGAGTAATAAGAGTGATCTTCCCCCAGGTGAGCCATGGCTCACCTGGGGGAAGCCATGCAGCAGCTGCAGAGCAAGAGTAAATTGGAAAATGAAAGCTGTGCATGTATTTACATTTTTGCTTGATTAATGGACAGGATGAAAGTGTAAATATTGAATGAAGTTGAGAGGCTCTAGATATACTATATGTATGCATTTAGTCTCAGAAATATTTTAAACAGATTTAAAGTATGGCTGGTATGTGCTAAATAAGCAACATCCAAGCAGTGTTGGGCTATTTTTTTAACAAAACATCATCAAAACTGTTAATTAATTCATAATTTTGAAGCAGCTTTACTTTCATTACAAAACTGGAAGAGACAACTTCTTACCAGAATAGCAGTATCGGGTTTTGGCTAATCAAGAATACACAAGGTTACTGATGTAGCATGAATCTGTCTCCTAAGAATCAAATGACTCCTAACCGTCGTACCTCTCTCTGGCCTCCACCTCTGCAGGTTCCTCTATGCTGCTTTTTACATCTTCCTGGCCAGTGATGGTGTCCTCCTTTCTTGTGGTGCTCGGTGAGGAGCTGCTCTTTGAGGATTCCTCGTTGACCTGGAGACCCTGAATGGTGTTTTGCTGATGGTGCCATGATTGTTGACCCGTTCTGACATAGACAGGTGTGGGCCCTGGCGTAGGTGCCAAAATACTGTGAACCGGGCTGTTATTCTTTCGTAGTCCTCCAATGCCTCTTTCACGTGAGTGGCTTTTCAGCCGGCCCTGGACAGGCGTCCCTCTGTGGTCCAGGCCATCCTGCTGGATGTACCCCACCCACCCCTCCACCGCCTCCGCCTCCACTGCCAGCCGAACCTTGGGATGAATGGCTAAACCAGCGCCAGCGGAGCCTGAGGATCTGCTTCACGTCAAAATCCTTCTTCCCCGACACAGACATCCTCCTCTGGGTTTGGAAACGAAGGCAATGGTATGTTGAGTCCCCAAAAACATGGAGAGCAGAGAAGAGCCTTGATTCCAGTCCTCAGTGCCTACAATGTGACTCTTCTCTTCCGTTATTGCCTCACTACTATCATGAACATCCCCTCCTCCTTCTATGACTCCTCCGTTGTTCTTTTAGTGGAGATGGAAAACAGTCCTCTGCAGCTTTTGTTCCTGTGCCTGAGACTACTACCCTCCCTCCAATTCTCCCTTTCTGTCTTTCTCTCTATTTCTCTCCTGTGCTACTGCTGTTTCTGTTTGCTGCTGCTTCTGCTGCTGCTGTGCCGCTGGAGCTGAGTTAATGCACATGCATGATCCACACTCCCTCCCCTTCGTCTCCCCTGTTTCGCTTTCTCTCCCTCTCTCCTTGTCTTGTCTCTGCTCTGCAAACACACACACACACGCACACACACACGCACACACACACACACACACACACACTGAGATATAGACATTTATACTCTGAAAATAAAATCAGAAAATCTTCCAAGCCATGCCCATTCCTCTCTGATGCTGTTCTCTTTGTTCGTGTGTGTGTGTGTGTGTGTGTGTGTGTGTGTGTGTGTGTGTGTGTGTGTGTGTGTGTGTGTGTGTGTGTGTGTGTGTGTGTGTGTGTGTGTGTGTGTGTGTGTGTGTGTGTGTGTGCAAGCATGTGAATGTGAGTGATAACAGGGCCCACTGCTCTTGCTGTTAGGGGGAGGTGAGGTATCACAGAGGCAGGATGATGAGGTCACACCTTAACAAAGTAAATCACTGCTTGCTCAAGCAGGGAAAGAGAAAGACTATAGGCTGAACTATCAGGACTATTACAAGGAGCTTGTAATCCATTAATGTATGTAAATACACTAACATGCTCATCCATAAACAAAAAAGCAGGATACATTAGTAACTCTCATCAATCAACACACTCTTTCCTAGGCAAGTGAAAAGTAAATCACAATACACATCTACTGTATGCAGTCTGCTATTCCACAACAATCTGAATCCCATGGGAAAATGTTTTAGTATATGTAGCCATGCAGAAAAAATATTCACCTTGTGCTGTTTACACGAGAACACAAACGGTTGTATCCGCTACTTTTCTCTTTCGTATAGCCCGTTCGTTCACACAAGGCCGTACGGAAACGCGGAAACGGACCCCGCAAACGATAACGGGTCCCAAGGTGGATATATCTGCGAACAGAATGCTCTGGGGGGCCAAACGGCGACACCAGCCACCCTGCTGAGAAAACCCATCTCGGCCACTTGTATCCGCTACATGTTGCTAAATCCACCGCGGGGCATAAACAGAAGGGCAACCATGGCAACCATGCTCGGGGGTCTTCTTCGCTGCTTTTGGTGTATTTTGTGGCGAAATTACAGCGCCACTTACAGGCCCGGCATATGTACTACAGCGTCTCCAGCGCTCCCGAGCGGTCTCGTGTGAACGGATGACTTTTTTGATATCGTATTCGGTTCATTTGCGTTTCGTATGCGTTTGCGTGTAAATGGGTTAAAGCCCCTTGCGATTACATGGGAAAAACTGCATCTGATGAGCCTTCAAGGTCAGTTAGCTTCCTCTTCCTCCTTCAGGGCTCCAGAAAACATTTCAAGAATAGATCCATCCTATTTCTGCATAGCATAAGATAACCGCACCATGCAGCTAAATGAAATACCATACCTTAACTAATAATTCAAAAGCAAAGAGATGTGGAATCATGCACCATGTAACATTTGATCAAAGCTTACTCTTGATTTGTAAGCAGTTGATTAGTCAACAATTAGGATGTGATCACATGCAGGTTACAAGGCTATTATCTGACAAGAGCCAATCATCCCGCATGCACTGTGCAGAATGATGTAGGCTTTGAAGCGGGACATTTCCTTGTGTTCACTTTAGATCTCGTAGGGCACATGATTTGTCTGAAACATTGGCATATTAATAGATGAAATATACTTGATTGTTTTAATAAAAGTAAACCCAAACCATTCTCTTTGCCAGCTTCATCAGTATCCCATGACCACACATGTTGAGAACCCCTGATGTTGGGTGATGTGTCTAACTTTTCAGATCTTGGTGTTTTAAACAATTGTTTTTTATCCAGATATCAAAAGAAGAGTTATGTGCACAAAGCAGGTTGTAATTGGATTTATAAATGGATTGGTAACCATGCAAGATTATGAAACACAACAAGTGATACTGTATCTGCTTGGTACTGCATAACATGTGGTCAGGATTTATGGATTTCTACACAGTAATGACTTGATCAATGTCAATGTCCTGCCCCTGAGCTCCCTGTGTTTGCATATGTTGTCATCATTGCAAGCTTATCAACTGATATAACAGAAGTGTAGCTAACTTTTATTCCTGTGAAATAACTGAACATAAAGAGCAGCAACGTTTTCTGATTTCAACTTCCATGAAAAAAGGAAGAGAACATTGCCCCTAAACTGCTGGATTTCAATATTGTACAATCTCTCATCCACCTCCACAAACCGCCCACTGCTGGTTTGTAAAAGTTTGCGTAACCAGCATTTGTGTTCACTGATCTCCACCTAAATCAAATCTTAGCATGTTTTGCGATGGGCACAATATATGATCTGACCTGCAAAACATGTTTAAAGATCTTCAACTAACAGAATGCATGTTTCCTCCCTTCTCTTACTATAAATACGATATTTTAAAGCTAAGAATAAAATACACACTTTTTATTTCCACTCGCTAATGCTTGTTGTTTATTGGCAAAAGTGTGTATTAATAAGTCAAAGCTAACTGATCCTTCCCATTAAAATTAGCTGAGAAAAATCCCTTTTACAATGTTGTATTCTTCACACACACCAAACGAAACAGTACAGAGATTATGATTACTACAAGAAATATGCATAATAGAATGTTCTAGGTATTGCATTATTCAAATCAACTCTCTGGGAGGAACTAAAGCGGTTGAAGGACTGCATGAAGTGTGTGGATCACCCTTTGTTTATATCCAAGTTGTTATGCTAATGATACAATATGAGTGGATGAGCTTCACACATTATATTCAGTCAAGAGGCAATTCACTGAATTATTAATAAGAGCTTTCTCTGCATATCAAATATTTTACATTGTATTATATTATTTTAGAGCCCAAAAGGAACAGCAAACAGCAACTGCTTTCTGATAGGGATTCTGATTAGCTAATTGAATGTGTCCATACACATGCTTTGCCATTATATGTCTAATACAACATTCAGCTGTTCGAAGGTCTCTTCTGTCTTGCACTAAGTGATTTGGTCAAGTGGCATAATAACATGCTATACATCATCTTTAAATGTATTTAAAATTGTAGTTTTACAATCCTTTCCTTCAACCACAATGGGAAACACTTTACTACAGGCATCTACTAACCTTTTGGCACAGTCATTATCACTGTATAGGTAGCATTAGCTGTATGCTTTTACTGTTGAAAAAATTCCATGGAATATAACAAAAAGTGTATCTCGAGCCGGTTTCTCAAACTTACCTACCCCACCTTTAATTTGTTATTGAAAAGAAAATATCCCCATGTCCCAAATGTAAAAACTTTAGACTGGTAGTGGCCACAGTGTTCCTTGGCACACATTCAATATGAAAAAATAAGTAAAAGGGAAATATCCTATAAATGTTATCAGGGAAAATACAGGAAATACCAAGCCAGTCTCATAAAAAAACGTGTAATAACTACGTTGGTCCACAACGTAGGACGTAGTATTTCTACAAAAACGCCTCTGAAATTGTAAGATCCCTACGTTTTTTTTCACCATTCATTCCAATGGCTGGCGTCTATGTCACGTGATCTTCAAATTTCTCCCTGCAGAAAAAAAAACATAGCCGAACTTCGTTTTATTCTCGGTGTAAAATGCCTATTTTAAAGTTAGTTTGGCCATTAAAATGCGTTTTGATGTCATTTCATGCGAGAAATATGAGTTGTTATTTCAGATTATGTGTGCAGTGGATGTACATGATCTTTAGTTTGCTAGTTATTACGAAGATTACTTCAGGAAATTGTGTCTATACAACGTTTTCATTGTCACCAAGGTGGTTGCTAGGGATGCTGCTATCGATATTATTTCTGTTATGTTGTGTAACTGTTTAATGGTGTTATCTTTATTGCTACCCCCTTCCCCGTCAATGTATAGTGTTGGTCCACAGCGCAAACGTATTAGTTTAACAAAATCCGCAACACAAGTTGGAATCCGTCAGGACCGAGGGTCGGAGCAGCTCATTTGCTTTACAGAATATTACACCCGGAAGTAAGTATTCTCTCCGCTTCGCTTGACAAACCCCGTGATAGTCCTCAAGCTCTGTGATTGGAGAGTGTGCCGAGCGTCGAAGAGCATGTGAAATGGGATGGAACCACGGCAGACTGTCTAAAACTAGATTTGAACGGGTCCACCCCGTCCCCCCCTCCCCCACCCCGTCCCCAGAACTACACATGCTGGCTATTGTGTTTCGCAACATGCTCTATGGCACTCCTCTACTGGGAGTTGTAGTTTTAAAAGACGTTTTCGTATTTCCCATAATAAGAAGTTGCCAGTATTAAACTGTGTACATCCCTGGAGGTTTAGGGGATAGGAAACACTCAAATGTAAAACATATAATTAATAAATGGGTGAAAATTGCTTGTGCCCATAATGGTCAGCATTAATATATACCCACATGCCAGCTTAGGTCAGAAGAGCTTTATTTAACAGCGGGTCTTATGTTTGTGACCCCTCCTGTTGTTAATTGATAATGCCTGAAACATGCACTTGTCAAGGTTCAGAGGCACATTTTGCAAATATGGCAGTATAGCCATCGATCATCTTAAGATAAGATATACTTTATTGATCCCAAGTTGGAAACATTTGCGTTACATCAGCATGTGTAACAGTTGTAAATATGCAGTGGTGTTTATTTGTAAATAATTTAAGTTGGAAACATTTGCGTTACATCAGCATGTGTAACAGTTGTAAATATGCAGTGGT